ATTTAAAAAAATATACATACTAAAGAATGACATAGCAAAAAAAAGGAAATTTATTTCAAATTAATAATATAAATACAAAAATACCTAAAAATAAACATAACAAGAGAAACCATTACATTAAAAAAGCCTTGATATTTCATATTCTTTTGACCGACTAAATGTTAAATAATATTACGTCCAACTTTTAAAAAAACAGATTTTCAAAACACACTTATATACACTCACACTGTTCACGCAGTACATATAATAAAATTGGAACGATACAGAGAAGATTAGCATGGCCCTCGCGCAGAGGTGACACGCAGAATCGTGAAGCGTTTCCAAATATACACTCACACCCATGAGACGTTTAATTTATATTATGTGAAAAAAAAAGAATTTTTTTTTTCAAAACCCTATCAGGCCAGAAATGAGTATCCTATGTTCATATTTTTTGGTATATATATATATATATATATATATATATATATATATATATATATATATATATATATATATATATATATATATATATATATATATATATATATATATATATATATATATATATAACGTAAGGGGGGCCAAAAAAATTTTTTGCGGGGTGGCCCTTTTTTTCTAGTTCCGCCACTGTATATGTCCAGTTAATCTGTTACCCCCCTTCTTCTGCTTTGCGGCATACCTGAGAAGGGAAGGATGGAAAGGTGTCCAGTATTTTCGGAAAAGGTATCTGGCAACTCTAGAGGAGGGGGCAAGAGGAAGATGCTGTACTGTACAATCAACTGTACATATATTTGTGTATAACCAATTGTGTGATTATTTCTTGTGTTGTGTTGTGTTTCTGCCCTGCCCACACTGCCAATTGTGACGGACGTGTAATGTTCTGTTTTGAGTTATGTTCAATTTCTTCTCACAGCACCAAAATGTGACAGAGCTTACCATTACCACTGAGCTGCTCGGCTGGGCACACCACATTTTGGACTGGGTTACCCAGTTCATAAAAGATCCATGTTTTGACTGCAGGTTCATGATAACAACACTTTATTTCTTGATATATAATGACTGTTCTAAGAATATCACAAGCATAAGAAGCATAAGAAAATTTATATAAATGTTCATAGATATATGAAATAAGTGTTATGTGTAAACCATAACAACTAGGCCTACACACACAAAAAAAATATTAATCATAAAGAAGTAAATTTAAAATTAGAAAGGCTTAACTCACATAGATCTACATAAGATGTGGAACTACTTCCAAATTCTTTAGAAGCTGGAAACTGAATTTAAGTAAATTAAGTAGTTTAAGCCTTTGCTTCACGGTTGGTGAACAGATATTTTAATTTTTAAAAAATCTTTTTAGCTAGATCTAGATCTAGGCCTATTCAACGATGACCGAAACAACTAGAGCCCTTAAAAGAAAATTAAGATTTTTAAGTTTTCTTTTAGCTCGTCCTTACTTACTCTCAATGTCTCAAATTGTCAACAAAAAAAAGTACCCCCTCCCACCGAAAAAAGACGTTTCACACGTCAACCTTGATTTATCACTTGCCTAGGCATACTTACTTAGGCCTAGGTTTTCAAAAAAACTGTTGAGAATTTGAATGATTTATTTATTGGTGATTGGCTGTTATGTGGAATGCTAAGGGCCTAAGTTTAAACAGTTAAAGTAATTTCATGTCTTACAAGCATTGGTGTATTCGCCTACTTATTACTCGCAAGTTTTGAAGAACTGCAAAAAATATTATATAATATTCACTTTTGCAATTAATAGTCACAATTTTAGTACAATGCATAACTTAAATTATAACGAAATATGTATTTAAACGAATGCTATAGGCCTACTTTGTGAATTTTGTTTTTTCTTTTAAAATATATAAAAATATTTAACAATTATTATTTAAAAAGCTACCCCCCCCCCCCCCTGTACATAGACCAAAAGACGTAGTCTTTGTTTACTTTTTCACAAAAAATTGTTTATATAAGAAAATACGGCATCTGACAAATCTAACGACCCTAAAGGGTTTTCCCGGCGGGAATAAAGTTTCTTTGTTACCCTGCAGGGTTGGTGTACGACCTCACAAAATATTAGGGGGATCGTTCGTCAATGTATATATACATACATACACATATATATATATATATATATATATATATATATATATATATATATATATATATATATATATATATATATATATATATATATATATAATCTCATGTAATGAGAATTTCACTCGCGGTCACTTTTTTAGAACTCGTCGAAGGCTTTGAGTCTGACCAATTGATTTTCCATAAAGTCTAATCATCTATAGAGGTGCATGCAAAAAATTAGCCAGATATACAGAGGTTAAGTACCCTATACTTTGTGTTGAAATTACCCTATTTTCCCCATAAGATACAAAGATTATATAGGGAAATGCATCTGGTCAGTTTTTTACCCATTTCCAGATTTTTTTTCCAGATATGGCGAGTCTTTTCTGACACCCCTAGGCATTCTTCTACCACCTGGCAAAATATCATGGGGGGTCGTCGGCCAATATTTTTTTCGTAATATAGCTCATATAAAGAGAATTTCACTCGCTGTCACTTTTTAGCCCTCTTTGATGGCTTTGTGTCAAACTGACACTTTCCCATACTAAACGACCATGTATCTATGAGCATGCAAAAAATTAGCCTAATGTACAGAGGGTACGCAATATAGCCCATAGAAGGCGCCGGTCAGTTTTGACCCCTCTCCGTGGACTTTTCGGCCGACCGGCACCGGCCTTCGTGTTCTGACGCCCCAAGGCAGACTCATTCCAAATTTGAAGCGCCTGCGGCGCCAGAAGTGCCATATCGGGCACCTGACCACTTTGCTTTATGTATATGTTACGGTCAAAGCCCAAAGTCGGCCAATGCTAGGATTGGCCGGCCAATCCTAGCATTGGCCAATATCGCCTCCCATAGGTCGGTCAAAGTCCGAAACTTTGCTTGATTTCGGCCTTTGGCCATGGTGGACCGGCCAAAGTCTGAAATAGCTCTTGATTTCGGCCTTTGGTGGACCGGCCAAAGTCTTAAGGGGGAAGGCTCCGGTAAAAAAAAAAAAACTTTTTTAATACTCGTTAGAAAACAGTTATTTCTTTACTGCTTTATTAAGATACATCCGCATATGCTTTTCCACTATAAAAATTTTTTGAAAAAATCTTGGAAACTATGACAACACTAGTTTTAATGCCCCAAAATTCCCAAAAGTTAAATGTTTTGAACGGACACAAATTTATAAAATTCATAAAAAATTAGTTTGAAGATATGCACTTAAAGTTTTTAGCTGATTGCCCCAAAATATGGAAGAAGATTATGAATTGATTGTTTATTGGGCTTAAAATGTAATATTTTATGAATGGTGGAAAACCTACGAAGGGGTTAATTTTTCAAGATGGCCGCCATTGTCATAGTTACCAAGATTTTTCCACCAATTTTTTTTAGTGGAAATGCATATGCGGATGTATCTTAATAAAGCAGTAAAGAAATAACTGTTTTCTAACGAGTATTAAAAAAGTTTTTTTTTTACCGGAGCCTTCCCCCTTAATTAGAAGATCATCTGGCTAGGGACGACCGGCCAAAGTCCGAATTAGAAAATCATGAGCAGATTTTGGGTTTTTTTAATGCCGTAAGGATCATGAAATTGAGTCTTTATTTATTATTAATTAAAGTAAATGACAGAAACATTCAAATTTTTTATTGTACTATAGTCTCAATCAATCAATATTATCATTTGTTACAACAAGTTGAACTTTTATGGCATTTAGAATTACATAGCAGCTTGTTATTTTTACACTTGCAGCGATTTGTTGTGTACTTGGTTGTGCAATTGTAGCGAGTGTAGCCTTGGCCCCCAGTCAATGATTGTGAAGATGCGATGGTTCGTAGTGATTTTTCCTCAGTGCCAACTGACGACAATAAGAGCAGTTTTTTCGTGAAGAATTGAAAACTCACTTCTAGCATACAGTTGTTTTAGAACACCATGTTCCGTTCCTAATTTGTAGAAAACGCCCTCGACGCTCATGACAACTGCAATCACGCTTCGGGGATCACCGCGACCTCTGTCAACATCTGGAACACGGATGCGTACATTGTCACCCATTTTACCATCTTTAAATTTTGTATTTGATGTTTTAAGCATCTTAGCACCTTGATTTTGCAAGCCAGTATGAGCTGCTGACCTGTGTTCCATGATGTCTTGTTTGTTGTGACACAATCTGCAGGTAATGTTCCCTCCGTACCCTTCGTCTGCTTCATTTGGGTATTCCACAAATAGCATGGACATCGTTGCCACAGGATCCACAAGAATGAGCTGCACTACAATGTTTTTCACAAACTATATAGAATCTGTTGGCCACATTATTGTCACGCAACTGGTCTGGGCGTTCCGCCATGGCAGCAGATGTGTTAGCTGAGGATGTCGTTGCATTTATGGCAACCTCCATTTCTTGTTCAATGTTCTTAAGATCTTCCTCAGTAACTATTTTATCGAGAGCCCATATATGAAAACTAACATGGATTTACATTTTTTTCTTTTGATAGCCATCTGCTATGTCTGTCTCATGGTCTGACGGCCCTTTTGATCCATGTTGCCTTGCATATAGAATGCTATACAAACAAGAGCTAAACAATACGTTACTCTCAATGAAAACGCACCCAGAATAAGGAAAATGCGATCACAACTTAGTCTAGATAGAACATTGGCCAGGACATACCGGTCCGTGCGCGCATTGGCCGGCCAATGTACAAAATACGCTGTCAAGTTTAAGCACTTCGGACTTTGGCCAGTACGTCCCGGCCAGTGCGCGCATTGGCCGGCCAATGTACGAAAGACGATCATAGATCTAAGTTCTTCGGGCTTTGGCCAAGAGAGCCGGCCAATCCGCGGGTTTGGCCGCACTTCGGGCTTTGACCGTAACATATATAGATTTAAAACTAAGGGAAGCAATTCAGTTTGAATCTAGATTTCTAGATTCTAATTTTAAAATAAAGATGGCAGCTGATCTTCAGATGATGTTGAGATTGTGTAATTCAGAAATACTTCTCCACTAAGTTTGTTTATAATCTTTTAGATCTACTATCTGTCGCTTGCATGGTAATAATATTCATTCAATTGGAACTGAATTTACTATAATCTAGATCTAGATATTATAATAATTAATATAATTTAATGGACTTGTACTTCCACATCACATGGCACATACATGATCATGGCACATGGTTCAACTTATGCCTCAGCAGCGGAGTCAGTGTTTGTGTAGATCTAACTCTAACATGTAACATTAAACATAGGGACAAGGATAAAAAATTTATTTTAAAAAATTGAAAAATGTAATAGCACCATCTTATAGTCTTATAGAGCTCATTTAGTCAGGAAGAAAGATATTTTAATTTTAGCTCAAACAGTTTCAAAGTTCAAAGTTATGAATTTTTAACGTATTTAATTTTTTTTTGGATGTTAACTTTTATTTAATTTTTATTTAAATTTTATTTTTTAATAAAAATTCACTAGGATCAAGCTCATCATATCAGTAAAAAGTAAAAAGGGTAAGATACAAATAATTTCAGTGGATGTGAAAAATGGTTAAAAGCAATGTAAATATAGATGCTCACTAAATTGTAGGCCTAAAACTTATTATATTTCCATTTAAACATTACCAATGAAAAATATAGATCAATAGGCCTATCTAATATATTAAACACTTTATTTGATGGTACTAGCTCATTTGGAGCTTAATTAATTAATTAAATTTATTTGCCACCCACGGCAGTTCAGGAAAAAATTTTCTGTTTCAACCTCAGATCAGTCTGAAGATGCGAACTGTACAACTCGACAAGGCAGCCTATTTGATTTTAAACATAATGTGCAGCACATTTGATTTCGTTACCCCATTTCTATTATTTGGCCTACCCCAAATTAATATTTATTTAACGGAGTAGGCCTATAACATATTTTGTTGATTTGATAGATTTTTATTTTTAAAAATGTCATTGCATTAAAGTTAATCACCCCAGAGCGTGAAAAATGCATTCTAGACGTCGTCACGGGCCACTCGCAGCAGACGGCTTGCTCACTCGCGCTGTTTTGTCAGCAAGCGTAGCATCCCCCGCCACAGCACTTGCATGTACTATTGATCTATTCCATGTACTTATTTACTAATTAGTAATGTAAGCCTAGGCCAAAGGCTAAAAACATAGTGAAATTAACAAAAATTAATTAGGCTATGTGAAATTTAAAAGCACGATACATAATTAAATAAGAAAATATAGTAGCCTAATTAATAAGCCTGCTAAGTCTAGTTTAGTACGCCAACTTTCACTGATTTCCAAAATTGTGGTATGGGGGCTTTTATTGTCAAAACAAATATCTATTATCCCATTGCCTAGTTAAAAGACCGATAATTAAGATTAATTAGCCTAATTGCGTGAAAAAATAGACAAATAAGAAGTACCCATTAAAATTAAAAAAAACAATAGCCTAGCAAGAAGCGTACCAGCCTCTTTCTCAAAGGCGATGACTTCATGTCTAAATATACATGCTTTTGGTGACTTTCTTATGGTTCAAATTATACCATCAAAAACTTCCATTTTGTTTTCATAGAAAGTTCAATCTAATAATGGCGCACACACTAGGCACAATTTAGTTGAGTCTAAAATTTGAAGGTGATTTTGTACTTTAAATACACATTGTTGTAAGTTGATTAAAAATATATTTCATTTCATGAAAATGGGTTTGAAGCAAGGGTACCCTCATTTAAAGTTATTTTGTAACTAAAATTTTGCTATAGGCAACCTTGGAATATTAAGCTGAAAATTGGCCTTTTTGTTGATACATTGTATACATTTCATCCATCGTATGTTTATACATCATCATAAACATCTGGTATTAAATTTTTAATGTAGGATGCACAATAAACATCTGCCTGCAATTAGAAATACATGTCAAATTAAAATACATCTTTTACGTTTAAATGGTGTAGATAATGTATTAGCTGACTGTGCATGGGGCAAAGAAGTAAAGTTTGCTGTATTAGAAGGGATAGTGTGGTGAGCACTATGCCCAGCTGCCTTAACATTCCCTGAAGGGAGTCAGGTACCCATCATAGCTGGGTGGACTCAGGGACGCTCTACAAACTTGAACTCAGCATTCAAACTCGAGACTGTTAATCTGTGGAAATGGCTATTCTGGCTGTGAATTTTACCAGGCCTAACCATGCACAATCCTGAGGAAGTGGCTACTCCAGCAGTGAAGGCTGTGACTTCAATTCAGCTGAACTTCAAAACCTGTTTAGAATAGATTTACAATTACATTTACGTTTTTATCTTTACATCTTTTGTGGCTCTTTATTTTTAGTTATTTTATTACAGAAGATCTGTGTTAACACAGACAGATATAGATCTAGTTAAAACTTACAGAAATGTGACATGATTTTTGGACAACAGCATCAATAGCAAAGTTAGATTCTATATCTATTAGGATATAGTATTTATGTTAAAAGTATTCCAGATTTAAGTTTATTGTTATTCAAAATATAATAATAGTTCAATTTATACATGAAAAAGTTACAAATGGGCTCGATATTAACCCATATTATCCCAAGGTCTCAAATTTTTATAATTTTTTTATATGGTTTAGCTTTTGGGCACTGGATGAAGGAATGACTATGGATTTTTTTTTTAAATCAAAACTTTTTTAAAATATCGATTTTTTAAAAAACGTCCCATAAATGGGACGCTAGCAAGGAACGGCCCCATGTACATTTATTGAAAAATAAAATCATTTATCACGAAATATGGCTAATCACGCAAAAATTAAGCTGTATACTGATTTATCTGAAATCTCTCAAAAGTTGATACGGATCTACGATTTTGATAAAATACTTATATATGAAATTTCATCAACCTATCTGTAACGGTACTCAAGTTATCGTGTTTATACACAGACATACTGACAAGATTGCAAAATTATGTTTTTCCGTATCAGTGAGGTGTCGAGATTTGTGAATCTGTAAATTTGTAGATTTTTTTTTTGCACGATTACAAGACATTCTCTAGCTTCATATATACAAGAAAGTAAAAAAAAGAGAAATTATCATAATAACTAGCCAATATTAAAAAAAGAGAAATTATCATAATAACTAGCCAATATTAACAACGCAACTTCAAAGAAACTTATGCAGGAAGCTTAACTCCTGTAAAATACTTCATATTAAATAAATACGTAATAACTGTAACATAAGCAAAGAATCAATGCTTTATCAATATCAGTCAATAAAAAGCAAAAGGAGATGATGGATGGCTCTGATTGTAAAATCAGCTCTAATTTTTTTGCTTAAGCGTCATTGACAATATTTGGGAAGTTTAGATTTTTACTAACTTCCGGTTTTAGTTTCATTATTTAAATCACTATTATTATAAACATCTGGTTTGTTGAAATCAGAGATGCTTTCTTGGTCTTAAAAATTTTGTTGGGTCCGATTGTCGCTAAGAAATTTTAATATTCATATAGAAAAATTGTTGTTCTATTTGTGCCTTTAAACTTATTACTGTGCCATAAAATGCTATATCTGAAAAATTTGCTCAAACTTACCTTATTTTCAATGAAAAACTCCATAAAATAATAATCCATTGGAACAAACAACAACTTGTAACTAAAAGCGATATCCATTTCTAGCTGAAATTTTTTTTAAACCATGATAAAATCGCTTGGGTTGTGGGCGAACATTTTCGTTTTCAAAACTGCCCATCGCAAAAAACATCGTTGCACAAAATCACGATATCAGCAAACAACTCTCCTCACCCGCAGCAAAGTGCATTATATCCATGTCCTTAATGTAACATGTTAACAACTGTAAACATGGCTGATGCTCGCCATCTCCCCATTGTTACATCTCCAATATTTTCAATAATTTATTAACACTGCACCAGTATAAAAGACTTAGATCTAGATCTGCACACAAATCATGATAAAAAGAAAACAATTTATTTATTATGGTTTTTATAAGTTGCAGATGTTGCTTGAAAGACTCACTGATTAGTGAAACTGATACTGACTGATAGTGCTGATAGTGATAGCTTTTTCAACATCGTTTCCTATTTTGCCCATTCACATTGGGCTGCCACAGAAAGCTCCCTCCTCAACATTGTATTAAAGTTTTAGCGATGCTCACTAACTTGAAAGCGTCCTTGGTTTCTAACAAGAACATAGCTACCAAGCCATGGCATACGATTGGGCAATTTTTTCTGCTTTGTTCGAGAGACCACCATAATATTAATTTTAAAAATAATTATCAAGCGAAAAATGGTGTTTTTTTTTATGATTTTAAGCTATCTGAAGATGACAAAGCTATTTTTGCCAGAAAAAAAATTAATATTTGCTTCCGACAATCTAGGTCAAATGTAAACATTGGTAAAGTTTAAGTTGCTTAAAACCTTAAAATATCGGTTTCTAAGGTTCCAAAATTGCTCGCTAAGGTAGGTTATTATTAGATTGATCTGTTTCTGATTTAAAATTGTAAATTCACTGTACTCATTTTGAGAAAACGGAATCGCAAACATGTCACTTAAACAATATATTTTTTTTGTGAGTGACGTCATTTTTATTGATACAGAAGCTGTATCCTCTGTTGTTATATAATTGTTTTCTTTTCGCTTGACACTCTTTTTCGGCCTAGTTTGCTAGCGTTATTAGGCTAATTAAGCCTAATTATGGATATTTCACCTGGCTTTTGGATTGTACTATGACTCTATGAGTCTCAAAGCCCTTAAATCACAACGATCTGTTATTTATTTTTTTTTATTTTTTTTTGTTGATCCCTGGAATTAGTAGTTAGCGTTGGTCTTTGTGTGCTTATTTAGGCCTAATCATTTATTGTTAACAAATTATTTATAGCTTAATTAATTTGTCTTAATTCTTATTGATTTCATAAATTTTAATTAGACTAATTATAATATTATTTTCACTGCTCTTTGATGTTTGTAATTTGCATATTTCTTCGCTCACAGGCAATCATTTTAATGCGTTTG